TAAAAGTATTCTATTGTGATAAGTGGATAGTGTAAATAATAGTAATCATAATAATCATAATAGTTCTTTTATCCGTGACAACCAAATTGTCATCCGTATCACGATTAATTAAAGCGAATTTGTACCGATTGGGGCAAATTAATTTTAAGGCATGCCATCCCATCACCCCGTTCATTACGCGCCTGCCTACGTTTTTATTCGATATAAAAATAATATCGTAGCTATGTATATACTATAGACCTTCAACAATATTTCAGTAATAATTCACAGACAATATTTCGTAATTTTTAATATTATAATATTATTTACAGACAATCTATACAACAATTCCTATATAATCATGTAAATTATCAGTAAAACGATATTTCTATGTCGAACACCATTTATTATAGATACCTATAATAATATATCAGAACGAATATTACACAATATTAACAAAATAATGTATACCCAGTTAGTACGTGTATTATACGAGCATGCCGAGTATTATATTATTAATATTCATGGACATGGTAAGGTTATACTTATATCGCATATTATATCAAATGTCCAGTGGCTGCGATACATTCACATTTTTTTTCGGCATAATATTATAATAATTTATAATCATTCGTATTGAAGGGTTATTTTGTAGGCAATGCAATGTGCATGTGTTTTATCGAAAACATTGCGTAAACATCACTATAAACATTTATATTATTGTTATTAGACACCTAAGCCTAAAACATATGATATATGAACCATATGTGAATAATATTTCAATATTTTACACGTGTATGTGTGTAAATCCAGTAATTTCGAATACAAATCTAATAACATAATATAATGTTCCAATTAACGCGTAACAATCGGTGCCCAGCTGTAAATCTTTACGAGGTTAATAAACGGTTTTTAACACTAATAAAATAAACGGTTCGTATCATGAATTCATAAACGGTTCTCATCAGTACCTGTCTACTTGGAATAAACGACACAGTAACATTACTTTATAGAGATAGCTAACTGTTTTAAAATATATATCTAGGTTTTAATAACTTAATGTGGATATTATAACATAATATATTATATTTCAACATTTCCTCAAATTCAATGGCTCCGAACTCTATGTTAAGATCGGTCCTTGACCCGACTCGTTTTTTAAAAATTAAGCATAGAGCAACTTTATTTTGGAGCAAAGTTTGGTTGCCAAACCAAATGAATACTTTATTACAGAAACAAAAACTTAGGCTAACTACAATTTTGGACATAAAATGTACTGTATTTAATTGTTTGGGCCTCTAACATGCATTTCGCCTGACTACATGTTTAGGACTTCGGCGCTACTACTCAAATTGATATTAATTACCAGTCACAGCTATAGTAGCAGCCTAACAACGGCTACTGCTAAAAATCACTGTTAGCCATTAATGGCGTAGTCAGCGTGCAGACCTGGTAAGTCCGAGTTTACCCAATTTTCTCCGAAATAAACACAATTTTAAAATCTAATATTTTCATTAGTAGTCTTTCTCATCCAAATATTTATATTATTTTATCTAGCCTACCTAGAAACATATTTCTATCTATGCCTCTGTTAGCCATCTATATTTCTCTAGTAAGGTAACTGTGTCGTTTATTCCAAGTAGGTAGGTACTAATAAAAACCGATTTTTTTTTTAATGTATTATTACATGATACGGAAAAGAAAATTCTTGTTATTTGCCCTGACTAATAACTGATTAAATATTGTAATAGAATAACCACAATAGATAATATTCACATTTGTAAAAAATCGTAGAAAATAAAAGACCATACTTTAACAAAAGTTTCAATCGCAAACAATTTTCTAAAAGAATATTATGATTTCTGTAAAATATAATAAAGGAACATGATAATTTAAAATAACAAGAATAGTATTGTAACCTTGTAACGAATCAGGTTTATTATGGTGATTCGTCGCAAATAAATAAATTTAACACAATGTTGGTTAATGTATGTAAATTAACTTTCTTTATTTAAAAAATATTTATTTATTTAACGTTTATTGGTTTACAATTGAAATATTCTCTAGGTATGTAGGAAATGAGGATTTTACAATATTGGTTTCAGAAATAATACAAAATACCAAATTTATTTTTTATTTGTCTTGGTGCAATAGACCTTCGTGATTATCCAGCTCAAAGGATTTTTAAGTCTCAAACACAATCCACACCATTACAGATTGTGTTTGCAAGAGACGGGGTATGACGGTTATGATGGATCAAACGAGAAACGAAAGAATATTGATTCGTGGAGCCGGACAACGTGTGAAAGGAAAGAAATAGACGTACAGCGCGTCGAGGAAAATATTAATTATTGTTGCTTACGTGATGGCAGTTGAATTTCATGGACGCCGGAGACTTCACGTGGTCGTGGTCATGGTCGGCGTGTTGGCAGCTTGGTAGATCCGCTGGTCAGCTGGGGTTGTCCGTAGGCACCTTTTCGCCTGCGTTCACCAGTAGACTGTAGAGAATAGTGATGGTAAGAAATAGCAGTAGCAACTATAATAGTGCTGCTATTTAGTGTTAATATTAGCAGTGATTACTAAAATATGTTAAAATTTGCAAAAATCCTTTACTGCTCGCCAACAAGGCTAAGAGCAGATAAGTGAAATGCCAATTTATATTTCATCTATACAATTTATACTTCCACGAGCTTATCTGGTACTGCTAACTGCTATAAAATTAGCTGCTAATAAAAAAAAAATTAAAATTATAGCAATAGCTGCTATTTATAGCACCTATTTTAAATTAGTAATTTAATTAGCAGTTGCTAATAAAAAAATTAACAGTTGCCATCACTAGTAGAGAAACTGGCGCGAACTGATGTCAAGACTCGTCCATTTTGCGCTTTTACATGATCGGTCGTTCGGCCGTTATCGCGTTCTATTGTTGTGCGTGTATGTATGTATCGTGGCAGCGCTATCGCTGAGCGATCGTTGCGACACGTAAGACACCGTGCCTTTGAGTATGGCGGTCGGAGCGTGTATGTTTGGTTGTCAGATGTGTTGATTAAAAGGGGAAAAAAATTGGATTTTATATGGCAGTAAACTGCCATACATACTATACTACTATCTATACTAAAGTATAGAGATGTTCTATATAATTTAATATAAATGTAATAATATAAATAATAATATGTATATTATAATCTAATATAAAATATTACCTTTTTTGTAAAATTGATTGCTTCTTTTTTTTGGCCACTGAAATGTCTTTTGAAATAGTGAACGTTTTTATTCTTCAAGTGAGAATGTTGTTTAGTAAAATGGCGTTTCAATTTGCTGGGCACCATCGATTTGTTCGTCAAAAACTTTTCCCATACATAATTATTAAACTCAGTTTTGATGGTCCAGCAGTTGATGTGAGTCTCGATTCTGTTCTGAAGGCTCAGCATTTGATGGTTATTTAGTTTCGTAATTTTATTTTTCTATTAATAAATCTATCCATGCTTCAGAAAATTTTAAGTATAATTTGTGTAATTTATGATAAATATTATCGACTTATCTAAAATTAGTTCTTACCTGCAGATAACTGTCAGCTAATGAATATAAAAATACCGGCAACGTTAAAATATTATTAATAAGTAATAACAAAAAGTACAACAAGCTATAATACTAGACAGCGACTGTAGAATAACTGACTAATGACCGGTTAAAATGTTAAATCGTTAAGTCGATAATATAAGTAACGCAGCGTTGTAGTACTGCACGTGTTTATCGAATCTAAATAATTAATTAAATAATAAAAAAATACGAACTTTGAGGTATGCCATTTACATGACAGTAGTGACAATAAATAATGGTATGATTTTTATTTAAAAAATTTATTTTTTTTATTTTTTTCGTTTTCCTGTGGAGATTTTGTGTCAACCCTAAGCTGGGTCCATGTCACCCCGGTTGAGGAGCACTATACTAGTAAATGAGAATCGGAATTATTATTCGTCTCACAGTCATAGTAGCAAATCGTCTAACAGTGATCATTTCTCCAACAAAAAAATGTTACCAAATGTTCAAAAATGTTTACAAATATTTTAAATGTGGCTGCTTTAAATGAAATACACGTAACTGCAAGCAATAATCAACTATAAATCAATTAAACATCAATTATGTCATGAATATACTTTAAATACCATGCATTTAAAATTATATGTAATAAAAACACAATTATTTATTTAAAAAAAAAATCCATTTTAATTTCTTTTATAATATTAGTTATAATAAGTTTATTTTTATAAAACGGTTTCTATTTACAGACAAATGGGAGAGTATACCTATTTTCACACACATACTCACTCACACACACACACACACACACACACACAGGGACGGGCTGGAAAGTTGGATATTTTGTCAATATTGTATTAATTTTAGAATATTATGTGCTTATCCCAAAACCCAAACATATTATTGTACTTGCACATCATATTGTTGTTATTACTAGTATACTACACGGATATATACCCCGCGCACCAAGAAATTATTAAGATGAACAGGTGGCGGACGATTCTGCGTAATTGGGTCTATATATAGTTTGCATTGCTTCTCATTTAATTGGTTCTTGTGACATTGTGAAATGTATTATAGATTATACAGCATGTATAAAATATATAAACGTTATTGTGATTCAGAAGCTCAAAGTATAGCTAACAACTTGTTAAAATTTGAAACAATACTCTCAGCATATGTTTTCTAGTCGCTATTTGCTTTAAGTTCTTCAGCCTCGTCATGTTTACAGTCAAAAAGATTAAACTATGCATTAGCTTTTTCAATATTAAATAACTTGGAAAAAAATTAATAGAAGGAGTCAATAATTTTGAACCAGTTTTTATAAAAGCAACACTATTTGCTCAATATTTACAACCTATAACGGAAAATATGATCGGTACTTATCGAAAATTCTTCATGGTCATGTAGTTTGAAAAAAAGTAGAAATCACAACGGAAAAAAAATACTAGGTGAATTAGCTACTGATCAAAGATCAAACAATGAGAAAAAAACCTTTTGAAATTAAAGTGTATAAAACAATCTACAACAATGCATTTGGAACATTACACGACAAGTAAAGCAGTATAGATTATGTTTTCATAACTCATATTAATTAATAAATTATTGATTTTTAAATAAACACCTTAGTTTAAAACAAAATATGAAAAAACTGAATTGTATAATTTCAGGTATATAAATAATCAATTTATAATTCAAGATACTTCATTTATGGATCCTAGAAATTATCAAAAAATTAAACAGCCTAAATTCATATTTCCTGAAAAATCTATGGTCAAAATTGTAGAAATAGTTGGAGTTGATATTTTGATAGTGCAATGTCAACTAGTAGGATTCGCAAGGAATTACGATGCAATTGTAAATGCATGTCTGGTAAGTAATAGTCAGGGCAATACATTTAAAGAAAAAATAATTAGTGACGAAGATACAGAAAACGAAGTACTTAAATGTGCAGTGGTTGGAACGAAATGTAAATTGTGCGTTTGAGTTTGTATATTCATTAGCAACCCATACATCTGATTATAATGTGTTATATGAGACCTACAAGCTAGTAGTTACTTTAGTATTCAATCAAGTAACTTGTGAAAGAAACTTTTCAATAATAAAAAAAATTAAAAATTTACTAAGATCATCGCTATTTGATAACAAATTAGAAGCATTTAAGTTGATAACATTTGAATGTGATATAGAAATACTATATAGATATTTTAGAATGGCTTACGACTTTCTAAATCGTAATATGATTTCTTTCTATAATTAACATCTTAACGACAAAAGAAGACAGCAACTCTTGGAAAAGCAAGCAATCTTATCGAAAGTATCATTACTTCTTTGGTAAATTTAAGATCATCTGTGGGCTTTTCTGAATTTTAGAGTGAGATATCATTGTTTTTAAATGAACGTTACGATTATAGACCATAATATCGAAAAAAAGCTGAAGGAAAACTAGCGAAAAAAATTAAAGCGAAGTTTACATTATTACAAAATCCAAAATAGTGAAAAAATATTATTATAATGAGTATAAAAGTATAAAAAAAATATTCACAAAATCATAAAATTACATTTGTAAGATTATGTTATAATAGGGATACCTTTTAAATAATTAATATTGTCGTTAGTATTATAAGATAAGGATAGGTTATGTATTTTTTCTGAACAATTTTAATATTTTTCTTCTCTAAAAATATAACTATAATACAAGAGTAAAAGATTATTTGAATTAAATGTAATGAATTCCATAACTCAAAAATCAAATTTAAAAATATAATTCAAATAGAATATTTGATCATAACATATTGATCGAAATTCCAATTCTAGATAAATATTAAATATATGATGTAGATCGCGTGCTTTAAAGTAACAGCATACAATTGGTTTATAACAATACATTTTAAGATACAAAATTATGAAGAATTTAGAGATATATATTTAAACGAATACCGGTCGCGTGAAATTCAAATGCAAACATGGAGCCAGTGTTTGAATGTGCAAAAAATAACACACAACACAAATTATAGAGAACATTTTGCATATTGGGCCATGAGATTCCACCATCTAGAAATTTTGAATGTTTCGGATGAAGAAATCATTAGGAATATCGCGTGTCATTACCCGGAATACATAAGGGCACTGCTAATATCACTATCGAAGAGAACAATATTGGCGGCAATGAAAAGGGCCCCGAACAAGCAACCAATTAAGCAATTTACTAACGCCAATACCTAATAAAAACGGCTATAGATTTAATAAAAATCAACCAATTGCCAGCAACCAATGGAACAATCGGCCGCCACCTGAACCAAATCAAAATAACTATAGAAAAAACAAAATACCAATAATCGGTTGAATAATAGACAACAAATTAATCAAGTGACGACGGAGGAGGTAAATGAGGAAGATGCTACATAGTGTTAATAATATAGTTTAACCACCCGTCCAAGAGTCCGTATGTAGATTATATTATTGAAAGGGAAGTACTGGTATCGTTAGTTGACGCAGGTGCCACTATAGATCACTCTTAATTATTAAAGAGATTTTTTGTAAACATTATATTACATTCAATTTTCATTTTACCTATTTGGTGAAATATCTGTCTTGTCTTAGGTTCTCCTTTTTGAAGACAGTTTTGTCTCAAGTTTTGTTATTTCACTGCAACAACTTGCAAATCGGATTTCTTACATTCTCACATAATATCCTGTTTCTGCGTTATATTGATCATCCTCTATACTCGAATGATCAACCAGCAGAACCAACTATCTACACCAAACACATTTCCTCTAGTTATTGGAAGTTAATAAACCTATACGGCACTAAATAACTAGGGGTAAAACTGGGTAAATCATTAAAACAAAGAGCATAAGATATGCAATGATATATTTTGAGAGTACCTATAAGTCAAAAATACTATTTGACCCACGGTTTCTTCTCGACCAATTCTTTCCTTAGTAAAGAAATTGATTTTACGAAATCAGCCAGCTGTTCGCGATTGAGTTTGAATAACTTCATGTTATTTATTTGCATAATGTTTATCTTTTCTTCTAACATTTCTAGTCTAAATCTAGTTAAAATTACTTTTAATTATTATCTAAACATTATATACATAATTATATTATATTAAAATTTTATTTTACTGGTCCGTTGGTGGAATATTTGTTCTCCGCGTTCCTATAGACTGTTTTGTCTCAAGTAATTCTTTCTTTAAAATACATTTAAAACATATTATTTTCCTTTAACCAATTTATTTTTAACTATAACAAAATAATAGATAATTTGCTAAAATCACTTTCAAATCCATGATTTGAACATTGTCGTTCATCATCTTCTCATGTTGCTTCTCTAATAACAAATATAGCTGACCGACTTCTAATTTTTTCATTTCCTTTTTGATTAACAAATTATAAAAATATCGTACGTATATAGTATTAGTAATTTTCGGTTATAAGTATGTAGTAACAGGTTTTTTTTCAATTATCCCCCTTCCCTGGTAATAATTTATTTCGTAGTTTGTTTAAAAAAAAGCTAGAATTAAAAGAACTGTAAATTGTTAAACATTTACGACGTTGATCATTGATTACAAATTAAAGAAAATCTGAAATATTCTAACATTTTTTTGTAATATCCACGTTGGATAGACTACAGTTTAATAAAAAAAGTTAAATACGTACAATAGAAATCGTATTATAGTTCATTGATATATGGTTTATGGTATATGAGAATATATGGTCATTTTTACTAAGGGGGACAAAAATAAAAAAAAAACCGTTATTACTTATTATGATTTATTACCTTTACATATTTTGGGTGATCGAACATCATCACATTGTTTCTAGAAAAAAAAGATTAATTGAATTGAATTATGGATTTATAAATTTATAATCTGCTTCATTTTGATTTTGATTTTTAAATCATTAATATATTTTAAATATACTATCTAAGAATTAAGTTTATTAATTCTAAGTTCTTAAATTATATGTCAATCAATCGTCATACAATATTATTTTATTAAATAAACATTTCAAAAATTTTTCAAGAACAAAATATTTAGTGGAAATGAGTGGAATTAAACCTTCTTTAAGCAAAAATATAAAACGTAAAATACGTAAAAGATAGCTTAGATAACAATAGTACAACAATATGTATAATATATGTGTGTGCACCATAAAAGTTTTAAAATTTATAAACATCTACAATAACAATTTGTATTTTTTTTCGCTGCTTTTTCTGGGGAGGAAGGTTGGGGGTAGACTTTTGAAATTTAAATGAGTATTAGTTTAAACTTTAAATACATTTTGGTGTTTGATTTCCGTCGAAGTTGCCAAGTTCTCACTCCTTAGAAAATGACCGACTAGAACCACCAATTTAACACCAAAATGTATTTAAACTAATGCTAATCTAATTATGAAATTTTGAATAATAAAATGAATTCTCATTTGAATTTCAAATGTTTACTCTACCCCTCCCCCACCATAAATTTTACAACTTTTGTGTTATACGTTTTTCTCTATTTTTATATTTATAAGTGAAAATTGCTTAACATAAAATTCTAATCACTTGTATAATATATTATACTGAATTAGGTGATGATGGGTTTGGTTCTAATTTTCGGTTCTTCAGTTGCATTGATTCTTAAGAAACCGTAGGAATTAAGTTATCGAGTCTAGCATAATTATTTATCGATTTCGGTAATTTTTTTAATCCGTGCCGATATTTTTCAGAAACCAGCTCATCCCTATACTGAATGCTTATCAAACGGGTATACTTAAAGGTACAAGACTTACGGTCTTTCTAGTTGTGATTTTAGATCTAAGAGATCACGTTCTTTATTTACTAAAGCTGACGATATTTCAGTAATTACTGTTTCTTGCAATAATGATCTGTCTTTAAATTCTTGTTGTTCCACTCGTATATTTTTCTCTGTAATTTTCCATAGATTGCTTTTTTTTTGTAATTCACTCTGTAACTTCTCAATTATTTTATTCTTTTCTTTTTCGAGGTCATCTTTTTCGTTCTGTAACATTTAAACATTAAATCAAATTGTAATATATTTAAGTTATCTATATTCTAAATGTTACTTTTATCTCGATGTATTTTTTTTCAGAATTTTCACTTTTACAAAGCAATGCATTATTTTCCCTTTCTAGGGCTAAGCAACGAGTTTTTAATTTCTCCAATTCTTTTTTTATTTTGAATTTAGACGTATTTTCTGAATTATCTTTACGTACGGCATTATTTATTGTTCTATTATGGAACTTAATCTGTTCAATTAAATCATTGCCTTTTTTCTGCATTTCTGTAAAATTACAAACACGAGTAATAAAATATTATTTATATTACTTTATATTTCACAATACTTTATATTACCGTAATATTAAAGAATATAAATAATATTATCGTTAATATTAAACCAATTAAGTATTCATTTGTTTGTTTCCATTTTTTTATTAATGTGATACCTATGACAACGAAACTTTAACTAGGTCTTGTGTACAAGATTTGTGGCTAGTACAATATAATTGTAATACGAATAGGATTTTTCCAAACTATTATATGCCGACTCCGCGATTTTTCCGCCTCCAGTTTTTCCCTGACCGAGGACTCTATATGCTATAACGTTATCCGCGTATCTGACCAACCGTCTCCCGCACGGACGCACGGTTACTCGCCTTTATTGGTTACCCGCTCTGACATAGAACCGTACCTATCCCGAGCGGCATGTTAACATACTGCGCCGCGTTTCAGACCCGGTCTGTTATGCTTGTAATGTTATGCTTCACCCGACATGAAAAAATAGATATTTTAAATTATTTTTAACGAAAATAACCCTCGATTTGTTGCGCAAAACCACCTTGGGTAATAGGGAAAAAGCATTTTGGGGCAAAATAAAAATGTTTAAATCATTTACGGAAATTAGCCGCGTGTTTTTTTATTATAAAAAAGTCAAAAATGTACACTATGTGCAATGAACGGTGTCGAACTCGATACTGGTATCACTACGAAAAACGCGTTACCCAATGCGCCAATGCGGTCAATTCTGTAACGATAATCAAATAAATAGGTATTTAAACATTTGAGTTATAGTTATAGTCGTAACATTCAATCGGATCTGAAACGCGGTGCGATATGTTAAAATGCTCGTGAGCAATGTCGTTTTACTACGGCTCGGCGTATTTCGATGTTTCCGGCGTCTTTTCGCCCGTATCCGTACGTTTTATTCGGTTTGACGCTCACAAAGCACCCGTTTATTTCGCAGTCGCGCGATACCGTTTTTTCTCCGTCGTTTACGCGTATTGAATCCGATGTCGGCATATAACTTACGTACCCGTAAAACGGCCGGTTTCTTCAACAATCGTAGTAGCTGGACAGCGATAGGCGTTAGGTTAGGTACCGTGGTTGCATCCCAAAACCGCACAAATATGATTTCAACTCCAAAAAGGTCGATAAACAAAAACCGTACACGTTACCGGTTGCCAGGTACATTGTTTAGCCGAATACCGTACACTTATAGTGGGTAAAAACCACACGTCTAGGGTACCGACTAGAATCGTCATAAAAGTTCAAATACTGACCGGGACATTTACAAAAATAATTTCAACAACCTTCTTTTTAAATTCCGAGCGTAGCGGTGAGCTATTTTTATTGCAGGTTGATATGATCGAACCATTATTGGTTAGTTCTATAACTAATTAGGTATTTCATCTAAACTTACAATAAATTGATGGTAAACAGTTAAACCAATATTAAGTATTTTTCCAGTACAGTTATCGACTGAAACGCGTGTTAACATAACTTGATATGCATGTGGCTTTAGTATTTTCATATCTAATACATTTTTCAATATATAAATTGCACCTAAACAGTTTGTTTTTAATACATATGTTGTGCCTATACGAGTTGTTGTGCTCGTACGGGTTGTTTTATTTGTTCGGTAGTGTGAGGATCCAATTTTAGGAGAAAGTACAACGAAACAGTTCTAAGGATTTTTAGTTACTAATATAATTTAATGTGAGTCGAACTATATAATTAAAGAGTAATTTATTATAATAGTCGTTGTGACGACGTACAGTTTTAAAAGTGGTAGCTCGACTAACTGCGCGGCTCTTTCACGGGTGCCGTATGGCTACAATATTCTAGGAGCCGCCTACACACTAGGCGTTATCGATAGACTACAATAATATACTCTTATGCTCTAATACAAAAGGCTTATACTACTATACTATATACTATAGCAATATGCTCATAACACATATATAAATAATAAATAATCGATTATACATCATTATGAAATTTGCGTAACAATGAAACAAGTGTACGGTTTTAACCTACTAAATGAGTGCGGTATTGCCCTGAATTTTATCACAAGTGTGCGGTTTTTGGAGACAAGATCAAAAATTTACAATCTAAAATATTAAAAATAGAAAACAAATTCAAAAACAGAAAGTAATTATTATTTCGGTAAAATGATCACGCGAATGAGTACAGACTGTAATACAATAAAATGAAAATATTATATAAAAGCAACCAAATCATTAGTTAATCATTGATTAACTAACCATAACTTAATTGTCCACCGTACAACACACAGAGATTTAATCAACGATTAAAATTTGATGATTGATGAACTTTACTAATCACTGTTTAACCACGGAAGTGTACAACTGGCCCTTAAGAACAGTAATTTTACGTGCATCGGTTCGTATTATGCGATAATACATATCGATAGAAGAGTCTATTATTAATGTACATAATTAATTTAAAACAACCAATGGCATTGGAAAACTGATTTTTGGACATAAGGTCAACTACAGTAGCGTGCGAAGAGGGGGGGGGTAGAGGTTATATATCCCCCATTGGCTGAAAATATAAAAAAAAATATGAGTAATCTAATGCATTTATTTCAGCCAAGTTATGAGGAAAAATTTGACAAATTAATTAAAGGCCTTTTTAATTGTTTGGGATCTGGGTTTTAAATTACCAATTCCCACAGTCAATTTGGGTAGATAAGACGAATTTATGATTTATTCATAATTCTTATTTGCTATATCCCCTCCCATTGATAATTCCTGGGCATGTCACTGATCGACTATGAGCCTATAGATGATTGTTCCAAATTTCAGCCCGGTCGGTAAACGAGGAGCCCGGGTCGGGACAGTTTAGTCTGGTCAGTATATTAGTCTTTACCATCAATTATCGGCTATTATCGGAATACAAATATACAATTTGAACGGTCGTGGATGGTTAATTTTTTTAGAAGACATGGCTGTCTTAATATTATTAACCTGACACAATATTATTCGTATAACCTAAGTCCGATACCGTCGTCCGGTAGTCATTATCGTTATCAAAATATTATTATCATCCGGGAGCCGCCCGTAAAACCGCGATCAATATAATATTGTAAATGGCGCGGCGGCGGCTGCAGCTGACCGCGACTCTCCCTAGCGGACTATTCGGAATCAAATTCTTTATGGATGTATTGTGCGTGCGTGCGAGCGTGCGTGCGTGCGTGCGTATGTTCTCCAGACTACATTACCACAGTCGGGTCTGAAGTCTGAATTATTGATCGGTATTTCGGTTTCGGGCAGTCGGCCATTCAGTTGCTTGTTGTATACGCGGATACGCCTCGGTCGAGACCGTGTAGGCTGGAGAAAGTACATTGTGTACCGTTCTCCAGCCTTCACGGTCATCGTACGTTTCGCCGATAAGTTTCGCGTTTAAAACAAAACAAAAAATGATTTTATACTTAAATCATTAAATCCTTGTCCATTCTTCATTCGGAAAACATTGCGGCAGCTCTCCATATTGCGATAAACACGCCTCTGCGCGTCCGTCCAAAAACATACGTTTTCGGGCTTCCGTCATCTGCCGGCTGAAAATCACATTCAACGGTTGTCGATTAGGTGAGTTAAAAACTTCTGATCACTGAATGCTGTTTCACTTGTCTAAATATGATATTATCATAATTATTTTTTTTCAGTTTAATTTCTATTAGCAGATACTAAGGTCTCGCACAATTATATTATTATAGGTTAGGATAGATACCTAACTTACCTACCTACAATAAAAACCAGGGCTATTCATAATAAAATTATAATACCCAACGTCCAATACTTGGTAAGTGTATTATTATTCAAAAAAAGTTGTTAATTATAATATTGATCGTAATTATACAGTCTGTAGGAATGATGCAATGTACTGAGAATGCAAATATTGGTTATTTACTATATTATCATGGCTACCACTTTTCGTCTCGTCAAATCCTCTATACAGTGTCCATTATGTGTTCCTGTTGGAAGCGATTAGGTACTTATAGAGTAATTATTTAATCTTGGTTTGTTCAGTTTTGCAATATAATAACTGGTATATATGTTATATGTTTTTATTGTCTGTAGGTCTGTGACAAAATATTGACACTGCTGATGCTGTATCCAAATATGGTAAGTAAACTCTATGATAATAACCTCCACTTATAATTTCATATAATATAGAAGCAACCCTCTATTGCACACTAATATTATTAACACCCATTATTTTGCTTTTTAAAATGTTTAATAGCTATTAATATTAATATTTAATATAATATTAAAAGCTTTTAAACTATCACCCCATTATCATATTATCTACAATGATGTTTGGTAGTAAAAATTTTAAACAGTGCAATATCAAAATCTTAGAATAATTTTAAAGGGTTATTTTATTGCATTAACCTCTATTACATTAACATAAATCGCTCAGGTCAAGGAAATAATTCACCTACCAGATATCTCCATAAGGTTTGGTGCACTTCACTGCAATTGTTTCGCTACGGTTTATTTTTTGTTGATTTCAATGGGACATTTTTTTCATTTGAAACTTGAAACCTTTCAAGTTCCACTGCCGTGTGTCGATGATAACAATATTTTCGGTATTATTATTTATTATTTTAAATCTATCTATGACAATATACCAAGTATAGTGGCTACCGTGTAGGGCTTAAGAAATATATTATAAATGAATACTGTGTATTTAAATCTTTTTTTTTTATTTCATTTTAGATTCTGAGTGGAGCGAAGAAACTTATGGTTTTACAAAGATGTTTATTTTTTTTTTCTGTAGACAATTTTTCTACCAAAGTACTTTGAAAGAATTTTCCCTGCAAATGTGAAAACATGCGAAAAATGTAGGAAAAACGGGAAAATCAGTTCAGTGAACAAATTGTATCATATTAAATATAATATATAATGCCGTAATATGACATAAACTTTATTGTTGACATCATATCACTATCAACTGAAGTCTGTTCAGAATCGTTTTTCGTTAGCAATGGTTAATGTTTGTGAACGGATATACATTAAATTACCTATAACAGTAGCGGAAGTGGCCCCATTATTTTAGGAAGTCTTTTCTTTTTATAATTCAGTTTACAGTACATATTATAAAAAGACATCNGCAACGATTCACCATTATTAAAGAAAAAAACGATTCTGAGCGGAGTTCAATTGATAGTGATGCTTTGTCAATAATATACATGTTATATTATGATAACATAATTAAATAGGCATTATATAATTTCTTAAACATTTATTTATTTAATATTGTACCGATTTTCCTGGTTTTTCCATGTTTTTTCTCATTTGTTGGGAAAATTGAAAATTGACTTCTCTAAAGTACCTCCCCGGTCAGGTTTTCTTTAAGAAAAAGTGCTATCATTGTAAATCTGAGCAAAATTTCTGGTAGAAAAGTGTTACAGAGGAAAAAAAAGAAATCCGTAATACTTTTTAGTTAATACCAACATTTTGTAAATTTTCCTGTTTTTCTGACATATTTTATCTCGGTTTTTCGCAGATAATATGAATATCCTTTGAAAAATGAAAAAATGACCTCTCTAAAATACCATGTAGATAAATTTGTTTTCAGAAAATATTCTACACTTGATAAGTTGGAGCAAGATTTAACAAACCTCCTGTTATGTTTTCAAGCATTTCTGTTTAATCTAACAATTTTGCCTACCGAATTAAAATTACTTATAAAACTCGCAAAATTAAAATGTCTATAGATAGCTCAGAAATTGTTTTAATTTTTTGAAAATTTTATCCTATCTATAAAAAGAAAATATCAATTTTCTGTCCAAATTTTAATTCTATATGAATATTTTTAACTGAATTTCAACAAAAATAAAATATTGAAAATTTTATCATGTCAAAAAAAAACATAAGTTTTCTGTCTAAATTTCAATTCTCTACGAACATTTTTAACTGTATTACAACAAAATTGAAAAAATAATATTTTTATTTGTATAAAATTATTTTTGTAAATTTCCCATTTTTCTGACAAGTTTTTCTTTTTTATTGGGAAAACTGCCTGGAATAATCATAAAATGACCTCCTTAAAGTACCACCACAAGAAAATTGCCTTTCAAAAAAGGTTTACATCGTGTACATCAGAGTAAGATTTCTGGTAGAATTTTTATACACAGGATTAAAAAATAAACATCTTTTATAAAATTAATACATTTTTCACACTCAGAATCTAAAATTAAAAATAATTTAATAAGATTTGTTAATATAAATTAAAATAAGGTAGTGTGTGATATTACGAAAGGGGACAAATTTTGGTAGTCTTGGATTACAAGATTGTGATGATTCACAAAACAAGGTAGTCTCGTATAACAGGAAAGTTAGAGATAGATGGGTAGAACCGATTAAGTCGGTTTTATTCACAAAGTACTTACCAATAAAAATTACGTGTAAAAACTCACAAAATTAAAAGTCTGTAAGCTCAAAAAAGGATGAAATGTTACCAAGTCTATGAAAAACAAATATAAATTTTTAGATTCTGAGTAGAGCCAAGAAGCTTATGGTTTTACAAAGATTTTCTACCAAAATACATGGCCAGATTAAGTGTAGCACCTTTTCTGAAAAGAAATAGGTGTGGGGAGGTACTTTAGGAAGTTTTGTTTCATAGGAAAACTTAAGAAATGTAGGTATTCGTTATAATATATTACGGCCTTTCCTGTGAACAACTATTCTACCAGCAATTTTATTTTGCTCCAATTTTTAATGATAGCATTGTTTCTAAAAGGAAATTCGATTGGGAAGGTACTCTAGGGAGGTGAAATTTTGATTATCTCAAGAGTTTTCTTGGCAAATGTGAAAAACCAGGATAACAAGGGAAAAACTTAGGAAATCGGTACAATATTAAACAAATATTATTAAAGAAAAAACAGAAAGACTTAAATTATTTTACTTTATATATGACATATATATTGTTGACAAAGCATCACTATCAACTGAACTCCGCTTAGAATCCTTTTTTTTTTGTAAGCAATGATTTATCGTTACTTACAGGTATACATTAAATTATTTATAATAGTGGCGGTGGCAGCACCTGTCCCCATTATCTTAGGGTGTCTTTTTCGAATTAATATATCTTTAATCTTAATTGTAACATTATAAATACAGGTTGGTTACTGAATGTAATCTGTAACCTTTTTAAGTAGATCTTTTTCGTTATTTAAATGATCAATATATTTTCTTAACACATGTTACCAAGAATTAATAAAAAGTTTCTGTATATATTTGTAATTTTCGATCTATTTTTTTAATCTAATAATTATAAGTATTTATCTATTCTACCTACATGTAAAAATGGATATGTTTTCTTTTTATTAAAATTGTATAGTTATGTCTAAGACAAATTATAAATGCATTTTATGCAAAATTATAATTACATATTTAATAAATTAAGCTATATTTTATGAAACTCGTTTTATTGATGTATATAAGTAAGTCTCTTTTTGGTCACTTTTTTTTAAATTTTAATCACTTAATCCACTGTTTAAAAGTATAAAACATTAGTGCAACCTTGGACATAATCAAATTTTGAAAACATTTAAGCTGTTCATAGATATTAATTTTACACAATTTTTATTTGATAAGTATTCTGTGTTAAGACTAAACAGAAATGTTTGAAAATTGTTCAGGAAATTCATTTTAAGTCATCCTTAGTGGTAAAAAAAAAAGAAATTGATAATAATGTATTATTTTATTTTTTTTATAAGTCTTAAAATCGTATTTTGATGAAAATTGTCAATATTATGGTTTATCAAAACTTATATAACCTAACTTCGCTCTTATTCATTAGCAATGGTTTTTTCTTTTTATTTTCAAATAATTATCATAACAATTTATTTTATTAATTCATGCTAATAAATATGTTAACAAGTGGAAGAATATTTAAATCAATAATACAGAATTAAAATAACACATTTTTGTGTGTGATCATTGATCTGTACGTGTAGTATAGCCTTAATTAGGTAATTGAGAATCTAGTTCTTCTTTAGTTCAAGTTTCAAAAAAAAAAAAAAAATTTCTTTATTAATACACTAATTCAAATTTAACCTGCAATCACTCATACGGAGTAAAAATTTATTCCAAACAAACTTTAACTGCGCTATCACAACTCAAATTATCCTTACAATTAAGCTTTTAATTTTAAGTACGAAATCTCTAAAATAATTTATAATTTGTGTTATGTAACCATACAAAATCCATGGAGTAAATTGTTACTATGGATGTGTGAATGTGACATCAAAAACTGTTAGTATCTGGTCATTATGGCCATGGCTAGATCCACGAAAATTAAATTTATTCGTTTTTATATTTTTATATTTAATTATTAATCAATCCACACTTTGAAATATATAATA